GCTCCGCTAGATTGCTTAGCCAGCTGAGCTTACCAGCAGAGCATCTTTAAACTATATTTAGGAATGCTCTGCCAGATTGCCTAGCCAGCTGAGCATTTTTAACACTATATTTAGGAATGCCCTTCTAGTTTGCCTATCCAGCTGAGCAATTCAGCAGAGCATTTTTACACTATATTTTGGAATGTACCGCTAGATTGCTTAGCCAGCTGAGCATAACAGCTAAGCATTTTTACACTATATTTAGGAACGCCCTGCTAGATTGCCTAACCAGCTGAGCATACCAGCAGATCATGTTTACACTATATTTTGGAATGCCCCGCTAGATTGCTTAGCCAGCTGAGCATAACAGGTGAGCATTTTTACATTATATTTTGAAATGCCCCGCTAGATTGCTTAGCCAGCTGAGCATAACAGCAGATCATTTTACATTATATTTTGGAATGCCCCGCTAGATTGCTTATCCAGCTGAGCATAACAGTAGAGCATTTTTACACTATAATTAAGAATGCCCCACTAGATTGCTTAGGCAGCTGAGCATAACAGCAGAGCAGTTTTACACTATATTTTGGAACGCCCCGCTATAGATTGCCTAGCCATCTGAGCATACCACTAGAGCATTTTTACACTATATTAGGAATGGCCTGCTAGATTGCTTCGCCAGCTGAGCATACCAGCAAAGCATTTCCATACTATTTTTGAATGCTCTGCTAGATTGCTTACCCAGATGAGCATTTCAGCAGATCATTGATTTCCCTATATAAATCGTAATGCCTTTTTGCTTAGCTCACTGTTAACTGCTAACTTCTCACATACATCTAAACCCTTTTTTTTACCAAGTTTGATTTTCTTGAACAATTGACTTACCAAAGCAAGGCATGCAGCTTTAATGTGTAAAAGTGCGTCAACAGTGATCTACTACTAGCCTAAGTAACGGTATGTAGAGATTACTTTTAGTTTTGTTAACATACATTTTGAACACCTACTGTTTACTGTTACATGTACCTTACAACACCATTGCTCTCCGGTGCAATTATATACATGTCTATGATCATATGTTTATGCTAGCATAATTAGTCAAATAATTAAACATATATCCGAGATAAGTCTTTGTCTTACTTGTTGTCCAATAAAAAGGCATCAATTTGAAAAATTTTGACAGTTTATGTCCCATAAAAGTGGGCTTTACAGTGTAAATTCAACCCTTTATCCATTCCCCGCGCGGTCAATAAGTCGGACAGTTGGTTACTCTGATTTCTCCATGCATGCATAAGAGTATAATAACTATATACATAAATACTAGAGTGATGTATTTCATGAAAATGAAATAGAAAGAAAAAAAAACATATCATCCTTTTTCACACAAAATATCATAAATTCAAATACTTCTCAAAAGCTTGTAAAATACGTATCCACGCATAGTGTCTTACATAATGATTTGAGTTGTTTCATATCTGCCAGTGTTTGCTTTACAGGCAGCGAACATTATTGGAAAATAATGTTGACATAAGTACAAAAATCTGTATTTTTACGTTAATACTTGATTAATAATTAATTTCATAATTGAATGGAGTTTGATACAAGTTGTTTATTTGTATATCTAAAACCCATGGCACACTAGGGCGGCGTTCTTTCGGCGTCCAAAAAAATTCAGAACGTCGAGGTCTCAAATATCGCCGCAGCATCGCTGTGGCATCGCATAGAAGGCCGACCGAGGGCGCGCATTTTGAACATGCTCAAAACAAACGCCGTCACTCGGCGTTCTGATAAGAGCGCTGTGGGATCACAGTAAGGACGCCGTAGCAACTCAGTAGCATCTTCTACAACGCAACAGGAGCGCCGTGAAAGCGCAGAAGGGCCGGGGTTAGCCACTGCGCTTGTATGGAGATGGTATGGCGTCTCTATCGCGCTTATACTGCGTGTATACGGCGCTTTTACCAAGCTGTCACTGTGACAATTGCGTCCTCAAGGCGATTCTACTGCGTTAATCTGAAATTGCAGAATACATTACAGTTGAATTTTTACTTAAGACGACCCCGGAATAAGACAAATTTTTAAAGGAACGGAGGTTTCTGCTCTTTGTGTTAATGCTAACATGATCCACAATCAGGGCAACCCCACTTATCTACTTTTAAAATTATCAGTTTCAGTCCCAATTCATTGTTTTATTTATCTTACCCCACTATTGAGACAACTGATATTCCAGTCAATACCTATTCCGATCTTTTCATCTGCTTGAATTCTCTTTAACATGGCACTTTCTAAAACTGTTATGATTGGAAAATTGTCTAAAAGTGAGAGAATAAACTTCCGACTCTCTGCGCATTTATTTTGTGAAGAATCAATGTTTTTTTTAATAAATAAGTGAATTACGTACATGAAACTGAACGTATGAAAATGTAATCTGTTATATTAAATATCTTCAGACTTATGTACTAATTAGGATTAGATATTATCACACCAGTTTATTGTAATATTTGAAAGGTTATAGTTTAAACATGTTTATACATAATAAATCAAAAGGAGTGGTCATGTGTAAGTAAATGCTCTTTAAACCATTTTAATGAAAAGAAAGCAAACAAGTGGCTATTGTTGCTTTCTTGCATGAAGGTCAGCAAAATTACACGATTTTTAACATAAAATTTGGATATGAAACCCGATTTAGACAGTGTGAGCGACGCGGGGCGCCGTTGGGTGCCGTGAAAGCGCAAATTCAAATTCAAGGAGTTTTCAAGGAGATGCCTCAAATTCAAGGAGTTTTCAAGGAGATACCTAAAATTTAAGGAGTGTTCAAGGAGATGTCGCAAATTAAAGGAGTTTTCAAAAAGATGCCTCAAATTTAAGGAGTTTTCAAGGAGATACCTAAAATTTAAGGAGTTTTCAAGGAGATGTCTCAAATTAAAGGAGTTTTCAAAAGATGCCTCAAATTTAAAAAGTTTTCAAGGAGATTCCTCAAATTAAAGGAATTTTCAAAAAGATGCCTCAAATTCAAGGACTGTGCGAGCCTTGGAACTTAATAAACCTTTCAGGCATTAACATCTGCAGAAACATGAGGACCCATTTTTAAAGTTGGCAAGAGTTTTGATATAAAGTTCGAGATCTTCTACACGAAAATAGGTTCATTGTCGCTGCTACAGTATTCTTGTAAAAAATATAAACATACACCGAATCTGCTGATTCAGTAATTTAGCGTTTGTTGTTTGGTAATATTGACATAAAATAATAATAATTTTCGGGAGGTTTTTCGTTAGTTTCCGACATTCGCATAGGGTCTCAATGACGGTGGCCTAGAGGTAAGTTAGGCGGAATAATAAAAACGTGGATTTTCTTTTATCGATCGAGTATGATGTTTTATATTTTGATAATTAAAATACCAGCGCCGTGATTGCAGTCACGTATATTTAATCAAAGTACAGAAGTACAGCTCAACTGTCTATCTGTCACTATGTTTTACACATCTCAATACGAAAAGTTTAAAATGTCTTTTTAAAACAATTGCAGTCTGATTATTTTACACATTATCATACAAAACATACTACACAGAATGTGAAAACTGATATGAAGTTGGCAGCAGTATGGTGTTCCAAAAACAAAAACAAATCTATAGTTTTGGATCAGTACCTCTAGACGCTTGCAAAAATCATGATCACAAAGTACATTTTTTTACACATTATCGTAAACAAATCGGGGTGAATAGATAAATTAGACGTCTTATAGTAAATTTTGTCGTGCGAAAAGGCGAAATTTTAGCATTTAATCATTCAAGTGCCTTTCCCGGTATATACGGAATACGGTATTAAGTATTATACTTCAACATATTTTTGTCTCACTCATTTTAAATGACTTATGTCATAACTTCTTGTTGATATGTCAGTTTAGACTTCAGTAAATTCAAATTTAACAAAATAAACATTGTTTTTGTTGTATTCTATAGAGGGCGTTTGTTGCCAAAATTCCAGACATGTAAATTGTTCCTTTTGAAAACTCCTTTTAAAAATGCGAACGTGTATGTCTAGCATTTTTGATTGTATTCGTTCACAGCAAATGATATGCCTCTTAATCCAATCTTTTAATTGAAGGCACCCGCTTTTAAATAATGTGTTTTCATCTAGATCTTAACAACTGACTAAACATGGAAACCAACAACAAATTTACAAGTTTGTATCTTCCAATGCATAATTACATAAGCAAGTTTGCACACTTATAGATATCTGTCTGTACCTGAAACATATAAAAGAAATGTAATACTCGAATACAGAAAATAGAGTTTAAGAAAACGTGTTTCCAGTTATAGAACTACAAGAGTATGCTTACACAGTAACATGTTAAGAATGACAAAAGTAGATTTACAACGTTGAACGATTTTAAGTCATGCATGACGCCCCGCCCCTCTAAGTATTTATGACTTTCTGTTACGGAAATGTACGGACAGGTATAAAACCCGGCGCCTCTTCCCTATTACTCAATAAATTGAAGGAAAACACGGGTCCCTCGTATCTTTTTACATTAAAAAAATGGCATCAAATGAAAGATTACTCATTAAGCTTTCTATGAATGCCTCAGTAATAAAGATGAATTAAATAGATGTATTAAAACATTTTCGGGTCAAAATTTATCATTTTTTCCTCACACTCACAAATTCGGTAAGAAAAGCACGGTGTCCCTCAAAAGTTCTTTTTTTTTTAATTTCTTAATCAATTTTGTTAATAATGGATTGAAATAAAAGAGTTCTTCATAAGTTTTATAGTCTATAATTATGTAAAGCCTAGATATAAAAATGAATCAAGGAGAAGTATTGAAATTTTCGTTTCAAAGTTTATCAGGTTACTTTCTGAAAACTACACTCTGAAATTCAATGAAAAAAATACGGCGGCCCCTGCTTTCTTTTTTATTTCTTTAAGCTTTTTTACCAATTTTGATATTTTTGTGTCAAATGAAAGAATCCTTCATGAACTTTCTAGTGATTCTCTCTCTCTCTCTCTCTCTCTCTCTCTCTCTCTCTCTCTCTCTCTCTCCCTCTCTCTCTCAAGAAAAATCACGGCGCTCCCTTATTAGTTATAAATTAATCAATTTCAAAATAGAAAATTAATAAAAAATGAAAGTTTAGACGTATATTAAAAAAGTATTTATTTATACAATGTTTTGTGACGATCGGACGGACCGACAGACAGACGACGGAGAAGTGATCCCTATATGTCGCCGCTACTCTGTAAATGTGACACAAAAATAATCAGTCAAATGATAAAAAGACCAAAAACGTTTCCAAACACCAAATTAAACTGCAAAAAGGAAATGAATTATTCACAAAGGCATTTTGACAACTATTTGTATTTCATTGAACTCCGAAATTGTTATTTCTTGTTTTGAATACATGTACTAATATAAAGCAAAAGTCATGCGGAGCTCGCGCACTGACTATGGCATAATATACATTAGGGTAACAAACCCTTAAACTGAATATTTCATCAGGATTATAACTATCTAAACATTTATGTCTACCAGGAGTACTACAAGAAGAGAACCTGAACACTTTATACGTTAATCTACTATTTCCTTTGTTACCATCAGTAAATCTCCAATGTTCCGCATGTTGAAAAAGTTCTAGTCCGTATCTATTTCTCAAAACAAATCCAGGGTTCATAGGTACGTTTAACCATTCACCATCGAAAAAGATATTCGTTGGCTTAAAACCCATTTTAGAGTATATTTCAGAGTCAAGAGTAGGATGCCCAGATATGTATATATCCAACACCTACGTAATTAATTTCACCTAGTTTAAGAACCTTATTGCAACAAGGCGTCACAAAATCTCCATAAGACATACCATTCTTTTTAAATTTGTCTGCAAGTTTCTTACATACTGAACAATTATTTGTTATAAATCTAATATCATAGTCAATATCCCAAGGAATTGTTTTCTCCATTTTTACAGCACCTAATGTCGTTCCTTCCTGAAGCTCGCAAATCATACGTACTTCCTCGCATGATCTCATTACAACTTTAACTGCTTCCGTTGTGTCTAAATACTTGCAGAATGACATAGCTTTGGATGGGGAAGATGAGCTTTCTTTTTTTCCACACCTTTTCCTGACTGTGATGCCACCTGGTATTCGTATTTGAAATAAGTTCCAAATATCAAGAAACAAATTCCAACTTTCACTTGACACCGGATTGGGGATTGTGTCAAACATAGAATCAGGACAAACTATTCCCTCCTCACCTTTTTGATAAACTCTTAAGAACCAATCCTCGAACAAGCCTCCGTCTTCATTCAAATCTTGAAATGAATTTCTTTTGATATATTTAGTCGATGACAAAAATGGGCCTTTTGAATAGTCACAATACATACATCCCTGAAAGGACTCGTCATACCCCTCCTTATATTTTAATGTAAAATTTCTATAAACACTTTGATAACAACCTTTCCACCAATGACCATTTCTATATCAGAATGATGCCCCAACATATGCAACATCTAAGCTTTCTCTAGCTGCTATTAATCTCTCTAATCTGGAGTCATTTGTCATAAACTCGACATTTCTTGCAATGAGCAGATATGGTGTATTTACTGATGATATAATCTTGTTTAATCCAATACCTTCAGACTCACTTTCATATGATTTCACTTTCAACTTTTTAAACGATTGCTTAATTTGATTTGATAATACGGTTGAACTCACGGCAATCATTACATTAACATTTTCAAAGGTTTTAGAGACAGACGAAATAAATGTTTTAGCTTTTTCAAAGTTTTCACTAAGTTTTCTATAATCACTCCTGATACTCTTTATGATAGTAATTAGACTCAATAAAGGTTGCCCATAATTACAGTCTACTTTATCAAACCCGGTATGGTATAAAGGCTATCCAGCATATCCATCTTTGATTTTTTCGGGGCAAACACTTGTTGGTATTTTTAACGATCTTTGATATACACTTTCTGGGTTCATATTCATGTGTGTCAGTAAAGCGTCCATTGTGTCAGACGCCTGCATTAAATAATTTAAAGTTTTTGATCCTCGTGCATGTTTTTTGGCACTACGAATGAGTTTAGCCAATGCTATAGCCCGCCTAGATACATCGCTTTCTAAATGCGGTATTTTTTCTATTTCATTTATTGTGGGAAGTTGACTTGAAAGATGATCATTATCTTCGGAAATATCCTGCAAAGAAATCAAAGTCTATATGAAATATCATTTCAATAATGGAAGATATAGTTAAAAAGAAAAAATGAATGAATGAATGCTTTCATATACGAGAATGAATGATTAACTGAAATAAGGAAGGAAGGACGGAAGGAATGAAAGAAGGAATGAAGGAAGGAAGAAAGGAAGGAAGTGTTGGTTGATGGATTGATGGACGAATGAATAGATGAATGAATTAATTAATTAATAAAATAAATAAATAAATGATTAATGAATAAATGAATGAATGAATGAATTTATTGATACATTGGCATGCTGTTCATATTGTTTGTGCAGTGATACGTCGTTTACAGATTACGCCGAATGAATCTTTTTACGTTAATTGAAAACAAATACAGCTTATGATGAGCTGTTTTCAGTAGCTGACAACGTAGACGTTTACGTTGCTATGAATATCCACTTTCAAGAAAAGTATTTTGTCTAAACGTATAAAACTAAATATAGTTGTAGTATGGTTGGTTGCTATTACAGAGGCATATATGTTTAATATTTATCTTTTATTGATATTAGCGTTAGCAGTAGAAGAACATGTAGTAGTAATAGTGGGGGTGGTAGTGATAGTGGTGGTAATAGACGGTTTACAATAAGCTGTATCCCGGTGTAAGCTATACTAAATATTCGGCGATATGCCGCATCTTGTAAATTGTTCGGTGTGAACCATATACGGTAATATACGGCATATTGTCGTACACAGTACTGTTACGGTGAGCTGTATTCGATTATAGCTATCTACGGCGATAGATATCATCTTGACGGTGAACTATATTCGGTGCATGTATGTCATCCAAAGGGGATAAAGTCATTTTTTGTGAAATAAGGATTGAAAATATGTCTGACAATCATATTCAATTTAAAATTGCCCACTGATGCAAAAAATTATAACCAAATCCGAATTAATGTCAACATGTATGCATTTTGTACTTTTTGTGTCTAATAAAACATCATGTACTGTTTACATTTATATCAATGTATTTACTTCATTTATGTGTACTTGTACTAGATATATTTGAATAAACTAATTATTCCTTCTTTAAGTTATAATTGAGTAGAATCCCTGACTAAATGCTACTGTTTTGCCATGAATTGTATATCTATGTTAAAAAGATAAAAGATGTGAATTTAAAGTAAAATGGTGTAAGTTTGAAGTAAAAGATGTGAGTTTCAAGTTGGAAGTAAAAATATGTAAACTGACTTAAAAAGGTTTAAACTGAAGCAAAATGGTATGGATTGAAGTAAAAATGTGTAAGTTTGAAATATTTATAAAACCCATACTCACTCTAAAAAATGATCTATTTACAAGTCAACATAAGCCTAGTAGAAATAAGCCAATCAAAACCCTCCTTGAGAACCATTTGCATCTCGAATGGTTACTAAGCTCTGGAATGAATAAATAGTATTACATAGGTAATACTACCCCTTGTTTAGGCTAAATAGTTCTAAGTTTAAGTTAATCTAAGCTTACTGGATTCTATAATGATAAAAAAATAGCCTTCAAATCTTTGCATAATAATTCATTCTGTAACTTAAATAAACTTGGAAATGTCTAACAACATTTTTTTCTACGGTGGATGATTAACGTCATGTTGAGTTTTGATTTTTTTCGCCACGAAAGTGCGCAAACACAAAGATGCCAAAAAGTTAAATATATCGTGACTTTTAGATTTTGCACTCTCGGAGAGAAAACTGCGAATGAACGTCAAAATAACAACTTTGACGATGAAACTGGGGAGGGGACAAAAGCAATTCCATGCCAGAATTAAGATATGTCGATCTAAACAGTTACGGACAGGAGACCATCTTGTGTGACATCCGAACGCCCGCCCATCCACCAATATAAAGATGTAAATCCGAAAGAAATAATACAAGTAGGTAGCAACGGGTCAGATAAAAGTTGTAAATAAGATAAAAGTTCTGAATGACAAGAAAGCAGTTACTCAGAAAAAGGTGAGAGCCAAGATAAAAGTTTTATTCAGCAGAATGTACGAGGGTTGTTCAATATGTAATTTGTATTGTACCACAGCGCGATAATGCTATGCACGATTTCGTGGATGTTGATACGCTTGTATACCTCTATTCAATACCATTCCAATCTTTCCAATGGTATGATCACTATCGTAAAAATGTTGAGAATATAACGACATATTGACTATTAAAGATGGATTCTTGTACCAATACCAATAAATTGACTAAAACGTTGTTTAAAGCCTGTATGTATTTTTTTTTTTTTTTTTTTTTTTTGAAAAATGAAATATTTTAATACCTTAAATACAAATCGAACGGATTTAGTTTAAACATTATCTATTAATAAGTTCAATGGTGCTTAGCTGAACAAATCTATAATAACCAGATTCGGTGTCAACTTAGGTGCTAGGTCGTGGCCGAGTTGGTCTCGAATCAAATATCCTTGGATTGAGAGGCTGACACCTTATTTAAGTACCATGTCATCTCTACGTTAGATTTTAATCCAGGTTTTACTAATATATATCGTCTGCATATAAAATATTAATGAAAGCAAATATTTTTTTATAGATATATACATACCTGACATAATTTATAGCAGCTCAAGTATCCGTGCATTCAGCATACATAACACTTGCACTACGCTTAAACTTTTCACGGCATATGACGTGCGAGTCCATGAAATAAAAACATCCTGTAATTTGGCTGAAATTATTACTTAAATTATACCTGATGCATCAGACAACAATAGGCAATGAATGCTAAAATAGTGTAAGCACTTCAGTAACTTGCCACTTGACCATTACATTACACAAAATTTACACAAACTTAAAATGAAGACCACCAAGTCGTTCAATCAATCATGAACTCCATTTAGAGCCTCCGATGTTATACTCAGTCACTTTCATAAATTTGAATAAATTGAAAATATTTAACTCAAATGCTTATGCTAAGCAGGGTTAAAGGATTTTTTATTGATATGGTGATACAAGCAATCTGCATGAAGGAGATAAAATTTCTATTGAAAGACTCATCGTGACCTTTTACAAATCCTCATGCGTAGTATATTTGCTTCGGGTGATAAACAAAAAAGAAATAGAAATCGAACGATTAGGTCCGACTTTTTACATTTAATCATTAAAGTTTAAATCGCTTTTAAAAATATGTACATTTATTTTATGCTTTTCAGTGGATTACTGATTTATCCGAGAAAATTAAATATAATTTCACACTTTTCAAAGATGAGACTACTTGTTTAAGATTTTGCCCATACGGTACCTCAATTTTATTATTGTTGACAATTCTGACATTGTCAGGGATGTTTCGAGAAAAGAAAACTTAAGCTGAAATTGATAAATAACTGAAATTTCAACAGTAATAAATAGAATAAAACTTACTTCAATTCATTCAAATTACCAATCACCAAATATCGTCTCTAAATTTGTGGTTCAGGTTTACAGCCTGAAAATAAATTCCTTCCACATGCAGAACTGCTCTTGATGACATTTGGGCATATTTAAGTATCCTACGAGCAATAACTGCCTAATTTCTAAGGCAGCCTTTCAAAAAGTCCACGTGTTCGAATTTCCTAGCCGCTTTTTGAATGTTTACACATCTGTCAACACTAATTAATTGTCTGTAACAATCATGAAATAAGTTTTCTTTCTTCTTAAAAGATGTATGACTGACAAATCAAATGATATCCCTTTGAATCAAACACAATTATTTTCCTCCCATGAAATACACAACTTTTAAAAATGGCGGCCGCTTACATTTCACAGAGCCAAGTCTAATATAAATTTGCCGTAAGTAACAGAAATGTGGATGTATGGTTTGACTTTTTTCCTACTAGATTTTTTTGTTTTTATTATTAAAACAAGCGGTCATTCATATTGTTTAAATAAAATGAATAATATCATCGCCATTGAACTTAATTTTCAGCCCAAGACTTATTGTACTTTATAACCAATCGGCAAAAAAGATTTAAATATTAAAGTTAATTTCAAGGAAATATCGTTTTAATTTGTATTTAAGCATAAAATAAAAAGAAAATTTGTTTGTTTGTTGTGTAAGATGTAACAAATATCCTCTATATATCAAGTATGTAAAAGCGATTATGCGTAAGACATGTAGGTCAATATATATGTTTTCACTTTTCGAAAGAAACACAGATGTGATTTAGGTCTATATGCAAAATAACGAATAAATGTAAAAAGAGTAGATACTTTTTTTCGTTTTTACTATGAAATAGATTATTTCTATAGTATATGAAATGACTAAGTTACAACAAGACTCTTACACTGGCTGGGGTGACATTGAGGGATGTTTCTGCTAAAAAATTGTCGAGACCATTAGTCTGAGACGATTTTTTTGCAGCAACATCCAGAGATGTCACCCCAACCAGTGTTATATCCCCGTAACTAACAAGTTCATACACCAAACTGTTTTATCGCATCATATTTTTGAAACAGAAATCAACTTTAAAAAAAACAAGTTAAATATTGATGCTGCACATCAAAGACGTCGCCAAATTATGTGAACAGTCACAGGTAATCTCAAAATCAGCCTTGACAAGCGTTCTCTATTACAGTGGAATATCCGAAGCACTAATCAATTTGTCTCCATGTTTTTGTTATGTGCTCGTTGCTGCGACAAAGATCGAGGCAAAATAAATTGGATAAGAAGTAAAAATGAAATGACTGGTTTACTTAAAATATATTCAAGACAAAGACAGAGGTAAAGAAATAATATCTCCGTTGCGCTGGAAATATGTCCATTTACATATTGGTGCGAATTGCATTATGATCGAACGATTTTGTAATTTCAAATAATATTTATTTACTTCTTGTTTACTTATTTATAAAAGATTAAATAAACTACTTGATTAAACACAAGATTGCATATTTGCCTAAATATAATAAAATGTCTAGGCAAAAGAGAACAATCGTCACAGAATCCTTCAAAATAACTTATCGCAAATATTTGTGATACATTTTAAAACAGACTTATCTTTTTCACTCAGTTAGTCTGTTTTATAACATAAATATTAATTATTTTACGTATTAGCACACGTTTTGACTGTTTTGCAAAAAAAATATTTCCGTTGCGCCCGTAGCGACAAAAAGTCTCCGTTGCGTATTTTAGTCAAACCCCTTGTTCCCAGTATGAATTTGGTTCCCGTCATTAGAATATTGACTGGCTTATTAACACGTTATTTATTACGTAAGAAAAATTAGATAATGATAAAAAGAATATGATATTCAATTATGGCACTATCACTTCAGTTAAACGTTTATGTTAAATCCTTAAAGCTCGGTGACATGTTCTACATGAGAAAAAATATTTTTTTTGCAAAATTTGAATTGTTAAAACAAAAAAAAACAACAAAAAAAAACAAAAAAAAAACACAAAAGCAAGACTAAAATTTTCCCCATTTGCTAAACAGACGGATGCATATTTGTTAGACGCCGCGTGCACGCGGCGTTTATAATTACTTTTTTCAGCGCTTTTCTCTCTATTGTGCCCTTTTCCTTTTGTTTCAAATGTAAACTCTAAAAAATGAGCCCATACCAGCTTATTAAACTATGTTTTTGTTGTTTTTTTTTTAAATTTTTTTGCTGGGAACGTGTGAAACACCCGCCCCATTCTAACCTCTTAATATAACTACTTGATATATATGTAAAATAACCCAACTGTTATATATATCAGTTTTGTTTTTCCCTATATGAATCAATGGAAAAAAAGCACTGTTATAAATAAATACAGTTTTCAAATCCTCATTTTAAGTATACTGAATATAATGGGTTAGTAAGAACATATGAAAAAAATCCTAACCATGCGATAAATAAAATAAAGAAATGGCTAGACAAAGGAGAAATATACATGTACATGACATTACCTGAAGGTATTTTATGTGAAATTTAAATGCAACACGCTATCGTTTGAAAAATAGTTTCTTTTCATTAAAATCAACACCATAAAGGTCAAGTATCAAGTATCTCAGCGTGTTTTATTTCGAACATGGATAGAACCCACTGAAATTTGACTGGATAAACATAATAGGCAGAACCTGGTCAGTCATTAAACAGAAAATAACTTGATTCACCAAAGGTGTTACACTAAGTCAATACATTTTACTATTGTTGCATTTATAGAGACAACATTTACAATTTTAAGTCACATATTTAATGTAGAAGATGTATTTCATTTGCTAAAATGGACTACATTTTAAGGCCACTGTGAAAATATCAAATGGCGTTTAGAACTATCATATTACATGTTTGAAGAGATAGTATCTACAAAACTAGACATTTATTGTTTGCATAGCGACTTTATGTACATGAAGGGTAATGTTTTAAACCGAATTGTGTAGACAATACTACAATGAGCGTATTTAAATCAATGTCGATTCAGTTGTCCTGACTAAAAAAGAGGCCATCTTGAATGAGCTGAGATATTTTTGGGCTTCACATATGACAACGGTTCTTTTGATGCCTACATGGTCTACAGATAATTTCCTGGTTGTATAACCATCTGCATTATTTTGTCAGAAGAGGCCTTATTTCCCGCCCACAAGACATTCTGATGGTGAGGAAGCAAAAACCGTAATTTTGGGCTCGAACCAAGGGTCTCCGTGTGGGTTATATAGGCTTAAGCCACTTTTATGATATCGAATACAAAAATAATGCAAAAATAATGATAGATAAAATTGTAAACATGTAACGATGATAGGGTAACGGTGAATTTTAGAATTTCTACCAGGCAAAAATATGTAGACTGGTGTTACGAAATGTTGCCAATGTGGTCTTTATTTGTCAATGAAGCCGTGCTGTGTCCGTTTGTTTAAATGTACCATATATTTCTTTGATCAAAACATGTTAATTTTTTATGTCTAAGGGCGATCATATAATTTGTAAAGCAATCTGATACTGACATTTTATATTACTATTATCCACTTTTGTAATTGTATTTTTTGTAATCATTATTACAATATTCTATAGGCCCTTGCTGTCGAATAAATGTAAGTGTACGATACAACTAAATAAAGTATTATGTTACATAGGTAAAAGACTTTTTGAACAGTAAAAATCTGCTCAAGTGGTACTTTTTAAAAAAAAACAAAAATGATCTCCATTTTTTTGCCGGTTCAGTCTCTAAATATTTCGAAGTTCACTAAGTTGTTGGACATCACCAGAGTGACTATAAGCACCAGATAATTAAGTTGTTTGTAATCTGAAGTTCCTTGCTTCTTCAACCTCTTTTGGTCATGTTGGTTGAATAGTAAAAATTGAACATCCGTTAGCAGCGGAAGTAATTGCAGGAGAAAATTTGTGAAATTCGAACAACCAGACGATGGCAATTCGCACTGAAGGATTATTTAACAAATTTCTTCTGAGAAACGCCAAATGTGTGGTAGATAAATCTAAAACACAAGTCAGATATAGGATATCATAGTTGCACATTGTCAAAAATAGACAAAATGGATGAAGACTATTCTAGAAATGATCAGATTTCACAGTAAATAACCCGTATAAATCGGAGTGTTTTTTTTTATTTCTGAATGAAACACGGCTCATTGTATGATGTTGGGTTTTTTTGGACTGGTAGATATCAAAATTTTCTCGAAGAATAAAGATTAGAAACGAAACTACTGTTGATTCAATTTTGTTACAGTTACATGTAGCTGAAAATATAAGATCATTATAACATCTGATCGGGGTAATCAGATAAAAAACACATATGTATTTGAATTAAAGTATTTAATGTAGTCTTTGATAACATATTTCTTTTGGATGATATTTTTGCTCTTACCCACAGACCGACGTGTAACTAAATACATGTACTACCATGTGTCTTTTACGCCCAACATGTCATACATGTATATACAATATACCATGACTCATTTATTAACAAGTTTAAATCATTTACGTTTTATTTTGAACATGCATTCAGTTATATTTAAGACTGTAAGTTACTATAATTCAACCAATTCACAGCATGTGAAAAGTCAATGCAGACAGAGGTCAGTTGAATTCCTGCACGCGTGCTATTGTTAAGATGCAGTCAGGATCATTTTCCGTTCCTAAGGGCTTTTTATTTTCAGTCGTCTGCTCCCTGAAGCTCTTATAATTCACCTGTATTATCCGATACCATCAATCTATGAAAATGTAAATATCAACTGGCGATCCCTCGTACTTATTAATCCGATTTTTCATAGTTGGAGCATAAATAATGCATCTTTGGTGACGAAGAGATAATTTTACAGTATTTAATTTCTGTAAATCACTATCTTTAAATCGATTTTATTTTGACAGCCACTAAGTGCATTTTATAACAATCAATTTCGTCCTGATAATGCGATTATTTTAAAAAAAAGTTATTCAGCACATAAACTCGTAAATTTTCGGCAACATCCGTCTCTTTCCGTGACGAGTAAAATATAAAGCGTCAATATGATCAATCCGATACTCTTACGGAAATATACGAAGTATACAAGCTGTCGACGATCATAAAGTTTTAATATAAAATGATACAAAAGCATTCTATTTAGAAAAGACTAACACAACAAATTATTTGTATTGGAGGAAAAACAAATATTTAAGTTTTTTTCCACAGGAACTTGAAATTCTATCAAATAACCAATATCAATGATAATATCCAAATATACCCCCTTTATACTATAAATAAATATTATTTATACTGCATATGGGGTATATTTTGGATATTATCATTAATATTGATAGAATTTCAAGTTCCTGTGGTTTTTTCGGCACATAGAATAGTATTTAAACAAACAAGCTGTCTCTCCAAACATAGAAATTATATGAGCCGCGTCATGACAAAACCAACATAATGGGTTTGCGACCAGCATGGATCCGCGCAGTCTGATCAGAGCTTTCAATTTCTCTACTTGTTATAGAGTTTGTTGGGCATAAATATACAACATTTTATTCTTTTAAAATGTCCCATTAGATCAAATGGATCGTAGAGAAAGATACTTTATGTCAAAATAGTCAGTATAGCTCATTATTATGTCCATACAATAACAAAAGTAACTTGATTTTGAATTATATTCTTGATTGGGTGTCACGTCACACCAACAGAGTATAGCGACTTTCCAGCGTTACTGGTGGAGAAAGACAGCCGGTGTCCCTCCCTGTGTGCGTTATTTTAGGCACAAAAGGGTTACCGTGTAGAACAACCGACGTTCGACATTCCGTTAGTTACCCAGATGGTTTTCTCACATAAAAGAATCCGGAGACGCCGCGCGGCTCGAACCTACAGCGGTAGGAAAGATAGTATGCATACTGCGTATATATGTATTTTTTTTTCAAGACTAATTTGATAGCTCATACAAATTATCAATGACTTTTGTACAATATCTCATTAAAGGGAGCTACTTAACAATTCATGCGTAAATTTAACCTCTAAATTATAAATGAGGCAAAGTATTAAATTTTAAAAACTATGTGCAAAACATATTCTTCTCGTCGCTTTTTAGCTCATCTGAGCATGCTCAGGATGAGTTTTTAGGATCGATGATTGTCCGTCGTCCGTCGTCCGTTCACATTTTGTTGTTAACACTCTAGCGGTCGCATTTTTTCCTCAATCATCATCAAACTTAGTCAGGATGTTTGTCTAGGTGATAGCTCGAATGAGTTCGAACATAGGTCATCTCGGATGAAAAACTAGGTCACTGGAGCTAAAAATAGAAAAACCTTGTTAACACTCCAGCGGTCACATTTTTGTCTCAATCATCATCAAACTTGGTCAGGATGCTCATCTAGTTGATAGCTAGGATGAGTTCGAACATGGGTCATCTCGGATGAAAAACTAGGTCGTAAGAGCTAAAAAAAGAAAAACCTTGTTAACACTCTAGATGTCACAATTTTGCCTCAATCATCATCAAACTTGGTCAGGATGTTTGTCTAGTTGATGGCTTGGATTAGTTCGAACATTGGTTATCTCGGATGAAAAACTAGGTCACAGGAGCTAAAAATAGAAAAATCTTATTAACACTCTACCGGCTACTGTTTTGATCAAAATATCCTGTTAATTGGTCTGAAAGTTTGTTTTGATGATTTCTAAGTCAAGTTCGAACATGGATCATCTTGGATGAAAAACTAGGTCACACCGCCCAAAAATGGAAAAACCTTGTTAACATTCTAGTGGTCACATTTTCTACTCAATTATCATCAAACTTGGTCAGGATGCTTGTCTAGGTAATTGCTCGGATGAGTTCGAAATCGCATGTGAAACTAGGTCACTGGAGCTAAAAATAGAAAAATCTTGTTTACACTCTAGTTGCTACTGTTTTGATCCAAGTATCCTGGAAATTGGTCTGAAAGTTTGTTTTGATGATTTCTAGGTCAAGTTTGAATATGGGTCATCCGGGTAAAAAACTAGGTCACACTGCTCAAATATGGATAATCCTTGTTAACACTGTAGTGGTCACATTTTTGACTCACCTGTCATGAGGCTTGGTCAGAATGCTTGTCTAGGTAATTGTTTGGATGAGTTTGATGGGTCAGGTGAGCGATCTAGGGCCATTATGGCCCTCTTGTTTACTATACCCTTGCTGTTTGATCATTCATAAAAAATTTAAGAACAATCTTTAACACACCAAAAATCTGGCTAAAATATTTCAATTTAAAATTTACACAATTCAACGTGTGGTATTTTTGTCGTGTACGTTTAAAATTCGTACAAATGACGACAATGTACATGTTTTAAACTTGACTAAAGGATAATTTATTCAATGTTTACGGAGGAAGGATTTAGAATATGTCGTGTAAAATGATATGTGTACGCGAATTTACCATCAAACAACCATTTTTTTATTTCGGAAATTGGAAAATAAAATCATGTGAACGGTATTTAACATAAAATGTAGCGGTACTTTATATGAAACAATGTGAAAAATGGATAATATTTTTGATAACTATTTCTGTTAAAATCACGGGATTATTCATTATGGTTGAGGTAAGAAAATGGACTATTACCATTTTTATAATATCAACTGTATTTCTCGTTGTTTATATTCCGTTCATTCAATTAAACTATTTTGAAAAGGGATTTCAAACCTCGGTGAAAATGTTTCTTCAAACAAGAAATTTAAGTGCGCATGCGCAGAAGAACAACGATAGTGCTATCCAAAATCAACATAATATCTCGAAAGGAACCGTATCAGCGAATATAACACAGAAAAAAGAAGATGTTAGAAAGAAACGGTGCGAAAACTGTTTTCCTCATGATTTTAGATATGTGATAAACAACGAATTGATTTGTAAGAAAAATAATTCAAATCAAATTATTGATTTATTTATAATGGTTATAACACAAGCCAAAAATGTCCAAGCACGGGATGCTATTCGAAAATCATGGCTAACATTTTCCAAAACCAACACGGCGAACGTCCGTTATGCATTTTTAGTGGGTGCAATAAAAAGCGAAAAGGATCAAAGTTCTTTAACAAAGGAAGCAAACTCGTATCATGATATCATACAAGAAGATTTCGTTGACGTGTATATGAATCTGACATATAAGACGGTGATGGGGTTCAAATATGCAGCAACAATGTGCCCCCATGCCAGATTTGTTCTCAAAGCAGATGACGACATGTACATCAACATTCCAAATCTTTTGGCTTATCTTAACTCAAGTGCTCAAGACTTACAAAACAAAATCACAGGATCCTGCTCTAAAAGTGCAAGACCAATCAGAAATTCAAAATCAAAATGGTACGCATCAGAACGCTCCTACAAAGAAAAACAATATCCAGGATTTTGTTCCGGTACAGCGTATGCAACAAGTATGAACGTTGTAAAGAAAATATATAATATTTCATATACAGTGCCATTTTTTCACCTTGAGGACATATACGTTTCTCTTTGTTTACGTTTGATAGGGGGTAGCGTATTACACAAATCTGGTTTTCATATTGATAGACCAAAATTTGAAGCATGTCTTTATAAAGGAAATAAATTGTTTACTGCACATTCAATGACACCAGATATGATTAGAAATATTTGGAAGGCTAAATGCAAAAAATAATAATTATAACAACAACAAATGCAATCAATGGCCATGGTGCATAGATTTAGTTTCAAGATATGACCTATTTGTATACGCCGACCTGTGACCGTTCGTGAATTAACATAAACATGGCTGCTGGATATATAACGTTTCTAATTCATTAAACGTCAATTTAATTCATGCATCTCTGAACAGTATAAGATGTCAAACAACAAAATTGGCCTTATTCATAAGATTTTGAAAATAGATTATGTTAAAAAATGATGAAGATATTTACTAAACTCCAATGCTTTAAAGCAGCACGCCTCCAGATTCATGCTAATTTTCATGAAAATTTGAAAATGTATTTAACAGTTTAATATTACCAAAAGAATGCAATTTACACATTATCAATGGCACCTACAACCCATATCCACAAAGAGGTCAAGATATGAAAAAATAACCCTTACTGCGTTAGTAACGCATCAGAAATTTAGTTATATATACTTAAAATCGGCCATTAATCACACATAGCAAGTAAATGAATACTAGAATTTTGAATTTTTATACCTAAAATCTTAGTACATTTTTTTCAGGTTTTATTATATCAAAATATTTATGCTCATCTGGAGGCGTGCAGCTTTAATAGTAAAATTTTATTTTTATGTGACGAATGAGATGCATGGAATGAAAGAAAAGCAAGGGTTGTGGGAGAGTGAATACCTATCCCAGGATGGTGTCATGGCTAAAATATATTATTATTAAATACTACACAGAAAAAAATGACAAAAAGTTATTGTTTAAATAAATACAGTATTATTCTATAAGCACTGACGATATTACATCTCTCACATTATTCTTCTTTTCATGCATTTTTGTGTATAGGTTTGTTTATCTTTTTTTGTTGAGTTTTTTTGTTGTATTTTTTTCAATGGTTACCTTTTTATTTTATGGCATTGCTAGCCATATATGTTCATGTATATTTTTCCTTCCTATGTTTTCACCTGTAAATGATTACTTGATCTTTTTTTAATACAAAAATAAAGATTTCTGACTTTACATGAAACAAAATATAACCTTTTAAATGTACTGTGTGTGACCTAACACTCATTATTGTATAACTTCTTATATTTTATTCTGTCACATTTTTATTGATTTATATTACTGATAATATATTTTATTTTATGCATTAAAGAAATTCGCAGTAATAACATAGTACTAACACAGAAAAAAATAGAATAGTGGTATTCCTATTTTTTTGTATTTGATATAACATTTGGTTCAGACGGCAGTTTTATAACAAGAATAGTCATAATTGAAAATGCCTTATTAAAGAATTGTAAAAAAAACATGCATAAATATAAAGTTATTTGTTAAAATATGCTGGCTTAACGTTTTGTTAAATTGTAATGACGATAATAAACCTTTTATACATGTAAAGTTTACAGATAAGAAAAAAAGACCCCTTCGCAAAAAAAATATAAAAATATCTTTTGTAAAACAATCTGACAATACAGTTTTAGTATTGAAATTATACAATGTCAGTTACAGTAGATCTCAAATTTTTTTTCAATTCTATAGTCAAAAATATTGATTACAGTTGAATATTTGATTTAAAAGATTGAAGGTATTGGCTTTATTAAAAAATAACTAGATAACTATATCAATATCTTCATTCAATGACATTTGTGGGGTTATGTGTGCGCTAGTTATTATTGTATAACCGGTTGTATGCTTATTCTATGAATACAATGTGATGTTACTGAACTGTAAACAAGTTGCGTGTTTAAATATAAAAAAAATATATATACCTTAAATCACTATTGAATTATTTTATCATCAAAAAGAATTCGGTGAATATTTTGTTTGTATTTCACGACGAACAGCAGAGGTTGTGAATTTTTTATTATAATAATTATTATGAACAGTTCATTTTATGAGAAATAAAGAATGTAAATTTATGTTCATTTTCGAATTGTTTTGACTTTTAATGTCTTTTTTAGTTTAACATGATATAATTTCCATTAATTATACGTTTTACATTTGTATTCTTGCTTATAAATATTTTTTTTCTAATAACATGTTTTTAGATATTAATTTAGTTGATTGTGTTTAGGTAAAAAATATCTGTGATAACTATTATTGATGACAGTGTCTTTTGTCATTTACTCATGGCGTCATAGCGTTAATGACGTCATTTCAACATTAACATCGTATTATCAGCAGTATTTTACCACTTTTACCAATATTTTTGTCGCTATTGTATATTGATAAATTGCCTCTTGCTCATTTTACCATACAATCAATAAATGGTTCCATATCATCATCTTTGCCATCGATTAATGACTTGTGTTATACTTTCAATGATATCATCAATCAATGAATGTTATCATACCATCGATGATATAATTATTCAATAAATGGTGCCATACCATCAATGATATCATAAATCAATAAATGTTACCATACCATCAATGATATCATAAATCAATAAATTGTGCCATGCCATCAATGATATCATAAAACAATAAATGGTCCCATACCATCAATGATATCATAAATCAATAAATGGTGCCATACCATCAATGATATCATAAATCAATAAATGGTTCCATACCATCAATGATATCATAAATCAATAAATGGTACCATACCATCAATGATATCATAAATCAATAAATGGTCCCATACCATCAATGATATCATAAATCAATAAATGGTCCCATACCATCAATGATATCATAAAACAATAAATGGTCCCATACCATCAATGATATAATAAATCAATAAATGTTACCATACCATCAATGATATCATAAATCAATAAATTGTCCCATACCATCAATGATATCATAACTCAATAAGTGGTCCCATACCATCAATGATATAATTAATCAATAAATTGTGCCATACCATCAATGATATCATAAATTAATAAATGGTCCCATACCATCAATGATATCATTAATCAATAAATGGTCCCATACAATCAATGAAATCATAAAACAATGAATAGTCCCATACCATTAATGATATCATAATCAATAAATGGTCCCATACCATCAATGATGTCATACAATCAATAGACGGTTCCATATCTTCAATGATGCCATGCTATCATTTGCATCTTTGTAAGTTGCAAAGGCCACAGTGCAGATAAGAGTTATGCCATATGTGTGTTTTATGTTATTTATTCATATGTCTTTAATATTAATAAATTTAACTCTGAAACGTATTCATTGTTTATCTATATATATACATAGTTAGATTTAAAATGTCGTAAAAGAGTAATTATTTCATCCTGAAAATGAACAAATACGATTATGTATATTTTTTTTGTGTGAGAAATAAATTTTTAAGCAGTACTGGTAACATTTTTGTCCCCGAATAAATATAATGTTTTAGTTAAACTATTGGCAAATGAAAACCTAGATGAGCGGAAATTTTGATATCGAAAATAAATAAATGGTACAAATGGTAGTATAATCATGATAAAAGCAACATGGGGGTTTCTACTGAAAGCGGGATTGGATCTTTTATAAAAAAAAATTTTATCTATTTGAAATATTGCCTTTATCCTGAATTTGATTAAGGTCAAAAGAATGTAACTGTGTTGCAGTCAATAAGTTGAAATTGAAAAAAGGCCTGTTCACAATCGGCTTACATCGTATGATTTTTTTAATAAAATCAATGTTTCGAAGGTGTAATTGGTCGCTACACCCCATTCCCTCTAAAAAAAAGATACATATAAAATATTTATATATATATATTAAGATCAAGTGAAGGTATGCTCGCCACTCATTTTTCAGAACTAATTCAAATGTGAGCTCCATAACTCAAACATCTTTTTTACCAAATACAAATCTTGGTATCAAATGTGAGGGAATTGATTACTTTTAAAGGAAATAAAGTTGTCATTTCAATGATTTCAAGTAATAAGTAGATATGTAATCTCGAAGTCACCGTAAGTGAGGAACAACAGAAATGTGACCGCTGGCAGCTTATTCGAAATGAATGAATTCATACTTAACTTTTTCATTGTATTATTATCATCAGAACCTTGCATTATCGTCAAGTCTGTATGATTTTGATACATACCTTGGTTGGTTTCTACTGACAACAACTGTTAATACAGTTAGCGTTTATAATACGCTTTATTGTAAACAAAATATACATGTATGTCAATATCGTACAAACAGTTGCATACAGGATGGTTATTTTGTGTTCCTACTCTTACTCGTGTACATGTATTTACCAAATACACTTTTTTGCAAAGGCAGATATTCCAGTAAACACAAAACACGACTTGTATGTCGTATCAACCGCAACAATTTGATTGTTACTTTAATTATCAGTATTAATACAAATATCGTTTGATTGTAGATAGTCGTTTAAACCTTGAAAAAATAATATTAGTCTACAAAGTATTTCATACACATTATACATACCATTTCAACTTTATATTTATTAACAAAAATTACAGGTTAACTTTAGATTATTGTTAATACACCGAATACCATTTGAGACTATTAGAGTTACATAGTAACGGAAAGGAAAACATGCATTATATTATGCCTACGTCACAATTACAAACGGGGACCGGCCGATATGGTGGGATCGATGGGACACTGTTGATAATTTGAGATCGGAGAGAAACATTTAAATCATGTCTGGGAAGAAGTGGGCGGTCATTTTCCCTCTGTGGTCAGTTAGGTATTCGGACGGTTTCCGAAGGGTACTCGCCCGGTCAGCCGGTGAAAACCCTCGGCGTCTTCTTTCTGGACACCGGTCGATATTCTAAAGGTACCCGGCAGACTACCGTACGATAAATGTCCAGTTGCCTTCCGTTATCTGGCCTGTTTGCAACAATCGTACGGTGACGGTAAAGTATACGTGCGATATCTGGTCGGCTGTCGGACGGTATTCGTATGGCATGCTATCCCATTTTCCGGCCGTTATTCACACCCCCTCTTTTGTTGGCATTTTTCCTTGCCTTCTTCTCCTCTGATTTCTCCCCCACCCCTTCTTTGCTTTCTGTTTTGGAAGGTATATTACACTCTGAAATCAAAGTTTTCCATAAAAGATTGTAAATGAAACTTGAAAACTTTTAGAAACCTCCATGGACGTGTGTGAAAACTGAGAGAATATGTGTGTGTAATTGAGTTTCTAAATACTCGCCATCGGTTGCCCGTATAGGCGAGTCCTCCAGAAGAGTATTAGTCGTTCTAGATGTTGGAGGACAGCGCAAGATACAGATAGCAAGATGCCCTAATTTCAGAAAAATATGAAAAACAAGATCAACAAGGAAGGCGGCGTTCAATGAACGCAACCCCGACTATCTAGCAACACAGGGTGACCAGCGTCCAAAAGCCAAGCAGGACTACAAACAATCTTCTCCTTTTTTACCTATCCAAGTGTTTAAGCACTCATACAGGGGATCTCGCTTTAAAGTCTCGTCTGAAAGATTCCTAGTAATTTCAGTTGGTTATCCCGGGAATCGAACCCACAATGTACAGATTACAAGTCTAGCCATTTAACCGATTCAGCTCTTCACGCTGGCTAATGAGAGAATGATGGTGTTATTTATGATTTACCCTGAGAACTTTGGCTGTAAGCCAACTTGAATGTACATACCAGAGCACAGTTCAGCCACCGCATCGTTCCTGGACAGTCTGTCAAGCAGTTAAACAGAAATAATCTCTTTCACTTCGCAAGGTACTGATAACATCTGTACAACGAAAGTGACCTTCACCGTCGTCCGAGAATTGAACACGGGTCAAAGGCTTTACCTGCCGTAAGGTCTGTTTAATAAGCCAAAACGCTATCCTTACGGACATTTTAGGACCATACGTGCGACGTACTGCGTCCATCCGGGTCCCGGTCAGTAACCTGCCGAGACGCCTTCGGTGACCGCTCAGATACCGCTAGGAAACTGGAGGAATATTTGGCGCCCAGGAGGTACAAATTCTAACCGGTATGTAACCGATAACAAAAGGAGTCCGGCCGGGTATCTGAGGGTATTTTACCGTGTCTGCTTCGTTGCGTTGGCGAAGTACCGGATGCCGGAAGAAAATAACTAAAATTATCCGAATACCCGTACGGTGCCCCACCGGTCACTTCACACCGGAGAGTCACCGGCCGGAGACCTTAAAAAAAAAAGGCAATTTCAGCCCGTTCAGGCATCGGTACTCCATCGTTAACCTAATCGGATTGTAATGTGACGCAGGCTTTAATGGATAAAATCATACAGACACGTGTTTATTATATATGTGTGACTGGAATAACTGACTGCATATTCTGCAATGACGATTCAAGTAGTTTCATAATCGAACTGTTAAATGACACGTAGTCGCACGTAACAAGTTTAGAAAAACAAACAGAAAAAAATGTATTACTGTAATTACCGAATCAGACTTATACTATATGCAAGTATAGCCCTGCGGGGACGTAATTAAAATGCATCGCCGTGCTTCTCATGCACGATAAAAATCACTGCACATCTACAGCTTTGGATTGAATCAAAGTGATATTGAAAATAAATCATCAATGACTTCTAAGTATATATTTATTTTCTAAGTCATTCACCTGAGTCAACTCTTAATTTCTTAAAGACAATAAAATATCATTTAGAATAAATTCACTGATTATTTTACATAGGGAATATTAGTAACTGTACGGGTATATAGTTGTACTCTACCTTTCAATATCTGTCGAGTCCTCGGTTGAATTCGTATAGACATACCTCGTCAAGTTTCCACGTTTCAGATTTGCACAGAATTTCTAGTAGCGACCTAAAATGTTCAAAATATTTTTGCAACAGTTTGATTTTGTCTAGTTCTGCGCTGTCCTAATAAATAATCAACGTTTTACGGTTTTACAAGGCACAAGTTGTTAACGGGACAATATAGTGGTCAACGTTCAGTCAGACGTTAACCATGCACCTATATAACTAATGTGACTTGTAGAAATATGCCACAATACTTAGAGGATATTCAAGTTTTTCTATAAATTTATACCGAATTTATTTTCACCGAGTGGTATGAAAATAAATATTTCATGAGTGGCGGTAGTCTCGAGCGCTTATGATATATTATAAATTTCATTCTACAAAATGTAAATTAAATCCTGTATTTATAGAAAAAACCTTGAATTTTCTGTTCATTACACGCAGTTTTCTCTCTTTTTTAATTTACAATTTGAAAGCCTTCAACTTAAATTCTGTTTATTGGCTGAATTTAGAGGAAAGTGGTCAGACAAGACACCAGTGTAAACATGGAAATATGTTTCATTGCAGTGATTTCCTATACATGTACCCTTATGTTCAGCTGAAAACTACAGTGCAGTATAGCCTGTCATGAAGTTTACAAAATAACAAGATATTTGCTTCTTTTTTTTATGTTTTTCAAAAAAATTAGAATCTATCAAGTTAAAAATCAGAAAAAAATAAGTTTATATCTAATTTGTTTAGATCTATATTCTATCTGGTAGATCTTACAAAATTGACTCAATTGAAAATTTATAGCATGATAACTTTGTATTTGCGATTACTAGGCCTATATTATAAATCATTCGGTCCTTAAGTATTTTCAGAGTCTGAACAGTTTTATTAGAATCTAGGCCTTAGTCAGTTTCACTTAGTCACTTAGACAGAAA